TCCTACCAGAAATCAAATGCTGCTCCCCCAGGCTCACACTCTCTTTCAAGCCAAACACCGCAGCACCGTCCGCTCTTCTCCAGCTACAGCAAGAGCAGCACAAAAGCTGCCGGCGAGCAGCCTCCCTTGGCTCCCACCCCGCCATGCTCACGCTGGACGCGTGGGGCTGCCCCTGAAGAGCACCCTGCCACAAACAAGCGTGCTGGTAGGAAAGAGAAGAAACGTATGGATTTCTTTCAGGTTTCGAGAGATGAAAGCTATCTTTGTGAGATGGTACAGCACAAAGCTATAAAGGGCTTTTCTTTGTACAATGACACGGGGTTAGCTCAGGTTTAATCCTTACACATTATTCTCCTGCAAAAACTAAGACAATCTCTGCAGTAAAAAAATATCAGTTCTAAATAATGTGAATCCTTGGTATGTAACTCACATAGCACAAAGAGACTTTGCAAGTCTCAAAATATCTCAGAGGTTTTAACAACACTTCAGCAAAAGAGGAGAAGAAAAATGAGCTCCATTTTATAGCAGAGGAACGGCAATATGGCCAGGGCAAGTGACAACGACTGCAGGAGCTGAGGCTGTGCCTGAGGACTCCCTGGCTGCAGTCCTGCCAGACCTCGCTCAGGTAACTGCGGGTGAGGAGACCTGTCACCCACGCCTCGAGGACCCTCATGCCTTTTGCAGTGTTGCTGAGGCACGGGGGCCGCAGCAAACATCAGTGTGAGAGTCGCCAAAGGGACACCCGGGAGGCAGTTACTCACCACGTAGGAGTATCGCTCCCTGGACTTCCCTTCCTGGCTCACGTTAACCGTCACCACGTCGGAAAATGCCTCCTGAGCCTCTCCGGTCTGGCACACGATCCTGCGGAGAGAAGAGGGGAGGTTGGCAACTGCCCGGTCCCAGGCGAGCGGCAGGGCAGAGCCCACGGCCACCTCCGGCTGCAGGGACAGGGGACACGAGGGGACAGGGACCTCCTCCCCGGCTGCCCCAACACTCACGTCTCAGAGACCACGTATCGGTGGAGCAACGGCGAGCACTGCACGCTGCCTATCCTGATGGCGCCAAGGATGTCACGGAAGCGCCGGCCCAGGTTCCTCCCACGGATGGTCAGCAGCGTGCCCC